GATATATGTATAATAGTTCACAATTTGTTTTGCTAAATCGGCAATGAACTATCTAAAAAAAAAACATACGTCAAAGCACCGATAGACGCTGAAGTTCTTGAATAGATTCTGAATTCAACAAGAGAATGTCAAACATATAAAAGAAACCTAAAAAAAATTTAATGTACTTTAAACAATTACTGTGTTGGTTGGTATAGCTTTCTATAATTCTGAATCGCGCCTACGACAGTGTCGAAACAACTTTTTCCGAATAACAACATTCAGTACACTAGTTTGCCGAGCAAAATAATTAGTTCACTGCTTGCTTGTCATTATGTGCCTTTATACTGTACATCAATTGATGGAATCAAACCAACGGAAGTGCTATTTCTTACTGGTTGTAGGACCTTTTGTGAGTCCGCACGGGTGGGTACCACCGCCCCGCCTATTTCTGCCGTGAAGCAGTAATGCGTTTCGGTTTGAAGGGTGGGGCAGCCGTTGTGACTATACTGAGACCTTAGAACTATATCTCAAGGTGTGTGGCGCATTTACGTTGTAGATGTCTATGGGCTCCAGTGACCACTTAACATCAGGTGGGCTGTGAGCTCGTCCACACAACTAAGCAATAAAAAAATAAAAAAAAGAATACAAGTTCTTTCAATGTTTGAATAGTTTATAGCAACTGAACTAATTTCCGTTTCGCGTATTCATTTGCAGGTACAATTAATCACACCTTTGATTATACGTATTTTAGACTAATCACTTGATGTAACGGTTTATGTGAAATCACGCGACTGTTTCTAACATATTATTAATTAGGATACTCGCGCACGTAAATCAATGTGTTTACGTCTATATTGTGGCTGTCACCACAATGATTAATATCGCCGTTTCCAATGTACATATGGAATGGGACAAATGGTTTTCCGTATGTACTATGTTATACGGTATTCAAATATATACGTACATAGTGAAACCGCCTCACGCGTCGCTGTTATTGTCATTGTTATTAAACGAAGTATCGATTTCATTAGTTTACGAATTCAGATAATAATTTTGTTTTATGTAAAGCATTAAAGTATAAGCAACGATAGAAATAATAATAATTATTATTTTCGATACAGTGCTCATTGTGAGGAGGTTTCTCACTCTGGAGGATTTGAAAGAGAAAAAGTGTCATGGCAGACGTCGCATGCTCACTTTTTTTTTTCCTACCTAAGCTGAAGCCTTGAGAGGTTATATCAACGTCGCCTTAACTAGTAGGTGAGCTCACGGGGCTCAAACCTGATGACATTGCTAACACGAACCCTAGCAAGAGCCGTGCTTCGCAGAATCTACCACCGGATCGGAAACGCGACCCACTGAGAAGATCCCGCGAGAAACTCAGTGGGCTGTGTCTGAGGGTTAATTTACTCGTCGAGCCCTTCGTCGCAAGCAACGGGTTCGACGAGAACGATGACCGGTGCTTGAGGTACCTAAAAGCACCGTTAGTGGATCGCGAGGATCCGAAATGACGTGTCGCTCACCCTTTTTTACAATAAGGTTCAGAAATTGAACACGTGTTTATACTTGTCACGAGATTATTTTCGATCTTTCGGATACCATTCACTTTTCGTCGTCATGGTCGTCCGTGTAAAAATCAAACCGTAAAAGTATTTTTTAATTATGTCGTAGTAAATACTTTAATTACTCTGTATTCATAGGGCTAACAGTGTTTTTTAATTACATCTAGTACAACTTGTAAATACATAAAAAAAATTTTTTGATTCTCTTTTATTTTCCCAGAAATCAAATTTAAAGACCTTTGCCCAGTACTACTCGTATAACAAAGTATATCGTTATTAATTATGAAAAAAAAAGGTCTAGTCACACACAGAAATTAGTAAAAACAATAATTATTTCAGAAATAAAGTTTATTAATAACAACTATAAACTAATTTAACTTTAACTTTGTCGGACATCTTAAACGCGAAGTAAGATAAAAATGTTTAGTATCTATTAAAACTAAACTGAGTATATAATAATTGCACTTTCCAACTTTGTAAGAAGCTTTACTTTGGCTTTATTAACGCACGGAACGTGCTTAAGCTTGACGTTAATAGGTTCAAGTTACGAATAAGTTGTAACTTGTACTGGATTTTCAAATGTTATTTTAAATTATGTTTAAAATTAAATGAAATATGTTTTGTGCTTGATTATAATTAATTACTATCAGTGTAGTGCAGCTAAAAAGTCAGTTATTAGTAAGGTAGTTCAATCTGGTGTATTGGTAAGTGACATGGTAACTACACAAGGGGGTCGCGGGTTCGAATTCCGCCAAGGGAAGATATTTGTATGATAAATATAAAATGTATTTTCGAGGGTTATGGATGTATATTATATATATGTATGTGTAATTAAAATCTAACATTTATTTCCGTTATCTGGTACCTGTAACACAAGTTCTTTACGAACTTAGCTCGGGCCCAGTTAACGTGGCGTGATTGTTAGTAAATATTTATTTATTTATTATTATTTGTAAGAAAAACAAACAAAAAAATTTTTTTGGAAACAGAATTTACAAGAGAATCTACAAGCTTGATTGTGATAAATATAATTTCGAGGATAGTAGCACACAACGAAAATCGACTGTTACATTTCAATGACAGTGAAATGTGTACCGCTTTATTAAGTGGCCTACTATATTTGACGTTCAGTAAAACTATCGTATTTCTCCATCTGTCACACACAACGAAACCCACAAAGACAATTAGTTTTGTAAGCCGCAAATTGTATAACTATAAATTACGAAAAAAATTATCATCTTAGGCCTTACAGCTCAGGGTGGGCCTAGCCTGGTCCAGTATGTCTCTCCAGACTTCTCTATTCAGGGCTTTCTCCTTCCAGTTAATGACACCGATAACTTTGAGGTCGTGCTCTACGCCATTTTACGAAAACTATTTTTAAAACACACAAATACCTAGTATACCACAAATACCTAGTATAACTAACTATAAATTACGAAAAAATTAATGGCAAACGCTAAACATCCACTAATAAAGCAACAACAAAACGAGCAACACCGATTCTGCAATAACGAATGACTTTAAATTCTATTTAATTTTTTTATGAGCAGTTATTGCTAAGTATGAATTATGGACGCTGGGGAGACGCGAACGGTAGATATGAGTTATAACTTTTCAGTGTTGGTTTATAGCTGTCGTAAAACTAGGGCTGGGAAGAAATTCACGGAACGGTCGGCTTGGTTTTGTCGTTTTTGATATTTATGTATATGCATTTAGCTTAGAGTGATTTGTGATTCTGATTGAAAGTTAAGTCGTGTATTCGAATTCATTCTAACATAATAATATGCTCTTTAATATGTTTATAATTAATCGCTTCATCTATTCGATGTTTCGCAGAAGTGGTTCTAAAATATAAAACAAAAAATACTTTATCAATTCAGAAAACGTCGTATCTTAAGTGTCAAGTATTAGCAGCGTCCATAGAAATTGCTTAGGGCAGTGATCCTCAACTCTTATTGATTGCAGATAACTTTTAGCGATTTCAAAATTTGACGGCGAGCAATATAACAGCTGACTTTTAAATTGTTTACTTATATATAAAGCATTGCATAAAATAGAATGATCACTATTTTGAATGTAAACATTGGCAGCGTACTTTTGGCGGTACACAAAAATTCCATTGCACAGTAGTTGAGAATAGCGGATTGAAATATTTGTGTAGCTGTAGATATTACAGTGAAAAATAAACTCTCTAACCCTCTGCCCCTTCCTTCTGTAAGAGAGTGGACTGGTAGAAGTCGATTATCGCTTTTCAGGACTTATCTCTGAAGAACATCGCAGCCACGATGTTCACTAGAGATACCTAAATCTGGCCGTATTTGAGCAACACGACGTTTCCTCCCTTAGGTGGAGCAGGCTACAAGTGGATGCTTTACCATGTCTTTATTGTCATAACAATGGTGGCACTGCGTCTTCCGCTTCCGGAGAGCGTATGGTGATGGCCTATGCAGCCATGCCCTGTCAGCACTTGAATCGGTCGGAAGGTGAGATCTTTACATTTACACAATTTTTCATTCATAATTTAGCGTTTTTACTTATATGATTTTTCACTGCGGAAGTCTTATATACAAAACACATATGTATGTTGAGAAAATGACAATGTTCAACATTATTAACATTTTTTTTTTTTTATTGCCTTTGTACGCAGACGAGCATACGGCCCACCTGATGGTGAGTGGTTACCGTCGCCCATGGACTTCAGCAATGCCAAGGGCAGAGCCAAGCCACTGCCTACCGCTACATTTCCAAGTTCCTGTATAACATAAATACTATTTTACTGTTTAAATGAGAAACGTCAAAAATCGCTAGGGAGAAACCGTTGAGGGGAGTTTTTTCATTAATTCCATAGCCTGCAGGTGAATGAGAGAAAAGATGCTGTATTAAAATCAATTATAAAGAAGCCTGTAAAGTCTTGGATTATAATTAAATAGAATATTAGATTACAGGACGATTGGAACAGAAGAAATCGGGCAATGGACCAATACCTTATAGGATATTTTTTTTTTTTTTTTTTTTTTTTTTTTTTTTTTTTTTTTTTTTTTTTTTTTTTTTTTTGTTGGTGTG